AAATGAATATGTGAAAAAACGGTGAAAGAAGTGCGGAAAAATATATAAGCGAAAGGGAATAAAATGGCAAAAGACTACGGAAAGCTATGAGCCAGTGCGGAACGTTGCCAGCCTGATTCAACCCAGCTATAATATTTGTTAAACAGAATTAGCGACAATACATATATATACATTTCAAAAGTCATGGGCCCTTAAACCCCATGGCAATGACGCACGCAATTAAAAGCTGTCGCTAACTATCGCAAATTCATCAATGGGATGAGTGCGCAGTCAGCTCTTATCTAAGGTGGGTACTGAAAGAAAACATGCAATGGAATGCCAAACAAAGGCAACAACAAGCTCACCCATTTCAATAGCTTTAAGCGAGCTCCAGTTCGTCTCACTAATCACGGATATAAAAGCAGCTAATGAGCTAATTAAAAATAATTTTTTAGCTCATTTCAACCACGTTCACATATTCGACGCATCGACAGCACGACGGTGTGTGAGCTCGCGTTAAGTGCTTTAATTACTCCTTATATAACCGTAATTTCTGACTTTCATTTTATAAGTCCAAAATAACAATTATTTTTGATTTTTATCCAAATAATCTGCAAATAACAGTTATTTTTAATCTTTAAATTATATGTCTTAGATAACAGTTATCGAAACTTGCTCAGTCACTGACAGAGTGACCCTTGTTTAAATGTCTTGAGCAAGCCTGCTATGCTTTTGTGGTAGACATAGGGAAAAGCCTTTAGTGCACTCAGAATTTGCTTCCAGGTGACGCCATAAAATGCGATCTTGACGTGCAATTTTACCACCAAGCAGTAGTATTCTTTATCGCCACCAAGACACCATCAATAGCCTTTTCGGCAAGGGTCTTGGCCACCTCTTTAGCGTCTGTCGTTGAAAGATTTGTCCTAAATTCAAACTGGAATCGTGATATTTTGTTTTTACCATGTAGTGTAAAATTGTTGGGTGTAACAGAAAGGGGTACCGCGACACCTATTAGATCTTTTGTATCCCTATGATAGTTCCTAACCCTGACGGCCCAAGAGGTTATTAGTCTGCCTTATAAATGATAAGAGTTTCTTGGTATAGGACTTCTTAGCGTTAGGGGCATCGACTGTGGACGAACTGAATCACTGCAGTCTTAGTCTGGCCAATGCACATAATGTACTCCGACATCTCCTCGTCTTCAAGGCAAATACGACAAGCTCTCTCTGTAGAAATATCAATCCAACAAGCAATTTGTATCGGCTCTGTTTATAAGATATATATCTTTCCTAGCGAAAGGATAACCAAAAAGTCTGGCCTGTCTAAGGCCCCTACCTCTCCCTAGTACTTGCTGCGTTCTGAGTTTACCCACGATTCTATTTTAAGCCTCGAAGAAAACCAACTAAGTCCGCAAAACGGTTCCAGTCCCACAAGTACAGACAATGAGCCTTCCAAACAGCCTGGTACCCAACCTAGTAATAACATGTTTCTTGCTGACAAGAGTTGAATTGTGTCAAATCACTCCTTGACGAGCCTGGAGGTGATCGTCCTATTGGAAAGAGCCCTTATGACCGCCTTAAAATATAGCTAGAAACGCGTCCGTTGACCCCATCTCAAGGTTCAGTCTGGCACAAATTGAGATTGCTAGTAACTTGGCCTGAAAGGCCGTGGAGCAAGTACCCATTGACAAGACACAAACTCCTGCTCTGCCCTCCCCTCCATCTTTGATGCGTCTGTGTACCAGTTTACATATTTACCTGTGATCTAGTTCTGGTGAACCATTCGAACAGATATCTCGGTCTAGAATTATGACCTGAAATTTTCTTCAAAAGCAGATTTCGTTTGGCATAGCGTCGGAAAACTCGCAGATTCCTAGACCTGGTCTTTTTATAAAAATGCTTTGGTGTTGTGTCTTGTTTTTAAAAATACAGCCAGAATTTTGCATTTGCAAATTTCTCGATGGGTAGCAGGTTATGGCTCTCTTCGGAGCAGCATTTGAGTCACCATCTGTACAAGGAGCTTTTTAATCGGTAGTTTTTTAACCGCATTCGCGACCTCCTCTACGTTCATGGCAGGGATGTTGTCAATAGGCACAGATACATTTGCTCTTTCGAACTCGCGGTTCGTTGGGAACAGTGTCTACACGCCGTGCGTGAGCAGCTCCTGACACATTGTATTTCGTCAGGTGAAGGCCAGGCAAAGGTAATTATTTCATTTTAATTAACCTTTTTTCTAGATGTGAATTCATTAAGATGGTGATGGTCACTCCTTAAATACCGTTCAAGCCTAAGCTCTTAATTTACTTTTTTTAAGTGACACTACAAAACGTACCCTGGCTAGGGATGGGAACGATTAATCATTTGATTAAATTAATCGATAATTTTTGTCCAATTTACGATTTAATTGTAAGGCACCGAGAAACGCAACTGCTTAACAACAAAACGCTTAACAAAAACTTTTGTTCTTGCAACTTGGTTAAATAATAAATAATTATCGCCGCTAAAAATACTCGTTTTGTTTTGTTTAAAGCTAATTAACAAGAGAACTAGAAATTTTCCATGGAAAAGTGTTTATGTGAATACTCACTGTAAAAAAAGCCTTTAAAAATTCGATTAATCGATTATTTCTCAATAATTGCAATTAAGTGCAATTAATTTGTTTTGGCTTGTGATTAATCGTATGATTAATCGATTATTTTGCCATCCCTAACCCTGGCTGTGAGCAATATCATGATTGACAATATCTGTAATTACGTCGACTGCGTCCTGCTATTATCCCCAAAGTTGGGAAGTTCTAATCAAACATTTCAGTTTAGCTGGGTTCCAAATCAGCTGTTTTCTACAAACTCAACTCTAGACATTTGATTTTTAATGCGTTAGTTATACATTTAGGCTCCAAATCACGATACGGCGCACACGCAAAAATTGTCATACCAAATGCTTTTCCTATCTACGATTTTAAAATCCATTTGCGCTGTCAATGTTACATTTCAAATCACGCTAATGTGATTTCAATAAAGTTGTCAGTCACAGAGCTGTATATCATTGTACTTATTATCTTCAGGACATTATTGTAGATACATAGTAGGCCTTCATAAAGCCGCAACATTGTTAACGTCAAAGATATCAATACGAAATCAAACACAAACATTTACAAATGTGACAATTGTCTGCATGCGGCAAGTAGCGAAGCTTCACATACATACATATCGGTGCTCAAACGCAGGAGTAAGCATATATAAAAATAAAGCATACTACACATAGTTAATAGTACATACAGTGACTCAAACATATGACCACATGTTGATATTTGTTAAATATTCAAATAGTTTTTCGAATTACATACACTTTTTTGCTATTTTTCTATAAAAATATAGTCCAAGCTTTAACTAAATATAAATAAATAAAAATCATAGTTTAAAGCTCTATAGAAACTTCAACAAAATTATTCAAAATCAATTGTAATATTTCACTTATTTTATAAATTTTATTAAATCCAATTTTTCATATAGGTGGCAACACTCCTCAAAAATATTTCCGCCAGTAAACTTTCCTAAAACCTCTTCAGTTTGATACCCATATTGCAATTTTCAATTTATCTTATCAATTAAATTAAGTTAAAAATTTCGAACAGGTGGCAATCTTAAAAAAATATTTTTAGCTGTAAGCTTTACATTTATTTTAAGCTTATTTTTACAGCCATATTGTAATATTTGCTTTTTGTTGTCAATTTACTTAAACTGCAACTTTCAAACAGCTGGCAACTCTCCATTTTTTCTTTCTGTTACAATTTTATTATATGCAGGTATAGATGCCAGAAAAATTAACTCGAAAAACATTATAAATACATATTAAAAAAATCAATACGTGGTCACTTTTTTGAGTCACTGTACATACACTGCCATTGTGTTATTCTTGCATTGCAATCGACACAATGAAGGAAATGTTTCTATGCCATAATCGAAATATCCTTGAGTATCACCACACAGTTGACATGTGTCAATTATTTCTTATTCCATACGCAACAGGCGCAGAAGAAGCTGAACGGTGAATGTGCTGGTAGGCAGTGAATGTTAACAAAAAAATATGGTTAGTGTGATAGGGACTCGCTTCTGACACATTCATTCACATTTCATTATCCATTTCTTTGTGGCATACTTTCGGGCGCTTATGTGTGGTGACGCTAAAAAAAAAATCTTCCTGCAGGCGTTGATTTCCGCAGCCAAACCGCAACAAAGCTGTTGATGTTCACACTTAACGGCGCTAACAGTTGACTGTCAAACTGTTTTAGATTGAATGGATGTGCATATGTTTGCGTATGTTTTGTGAAAATGCGGCATTGACAAGTGCGTAAAGCTTTTAGAGAAATGAGTTTAAGCAGAATGCCGTTGTGCATAATAAAGTGGTGGAAATATAGACTATTAAAAGCTGCTATTAGTTTTCATACCTAGCATAGAAGTGCTTACGTATTTACGTGTAAAAACACGGGCAGATGTACGTGACTCTTGTATTAGAAACATTTAATTATCACCAACATGTTGGTAAATCGTCAGTCAATAATTTGGTATGATTTTATCGTTGTGCTAAAGACAAAACAACGCCCGAAAAATTCTGTTTAGCTTCTAGCTTTTTCTTAAAATTAAGTATTTAGCTTTTTTGAGCATTTTATTTTTGGACTGAAAAATAAAGACAAATCTTGTCATGATATTTACTCCGACGAGTTCTTATTTAAAAAATATGCATTCCTATTAAGTATGTATGTATACAAATATTTAGATCAGCGATAGGCAGATAGAGCTTTTACTCTTCACGCGCCTATACAAAATGTATAGAAAGCTTAAAAGAGCTTTGCCCGCGGGCAAGGCGGTGCTCATCACCGATTTAAATTCATCTGCATCTAAACCAGTGATGCTCAAAAACGGCGCCCGCGGGCGGAACTCTTCAAAGCTCTGCATAGATTTTATATGGACGCGTAGAGAGTAAAAGCTCTCTCTGAGCCAGCATCACTGATCTAAACCACAGATATAAAATCTACAGAGAGCTTTAAAAAGTTCCGACCGCGGGCGTTGTTTTGAGCATCACTGATCTAAACACGTCCTTGCAAAAATTATCGCACGAGTTTGTATTTTCCCTTGTTAGAAAACACAAAAATGTATTCTGAAGCTTCGATCTTATTCAATATCTGCGTGGGTGTTTGGACTGGTTTTTGAGCAGTAGTTGCAATATGACACTGGTGAATATCTACCCGAATGTGTCGAAGCTTGACGGAAGTGTCGTTGGATGGTTCTTTTATTCAGGACGCTATTCATCAGCCTTGAATTTGGGCTTCTAGATCACTGTTTCGTTTCGCAGGCAGAGCTGACATTAAGGAAGCAGTCGAATGCCTGTTAAACTATATTGATATTGCAGGGACTCGCGTTGCGGATAAGTGGGCCAGGAAAGGTACGCTCGAGTTGATTCTCTGGGCAAATAGTAGCAGTTTTTTCTCATTGGCGAATAAAATTGTATGAAATTCGGACCACGGCAACCCGTGCCGACTTGCAGTCAAAGTTATCAGAATACATTTTTAATTTACTCATTTTACTTCCCTATAAAACGGCATCACTATACTCCGTACAGTATTGGGGAATAAGATAAGAAAGGCCAATTAAAAAAATCTAACTATCGCAAATTTTCAGGACATACGGAAATATTCTACTAGAAAAAGTATTGTTTTACAACCTTGTAATACACCCTTACAAACATATCGAATTTGGTGCATTACCAAAGTTTTCATGGACGAATTGGTAGCCTTAATTCAAGTTATTAGCTAAACTTCAACCAAAGTCGGTACGGGTTATCGTTATTCATATATTTACTATGTAATGTTATTTAGACAAAAAGTACAAATATTGGGGGTATGCATATCGAAATTTTCAACAAAAAATGTTCCATATAATTTTGGGACATTACATTTACATTAGGTGCATTTAAATTAGCTAGTTGCTTGCAATTAGTGGCAGATATCTCTAATTCCTTATTTAAATCCAAGTATTTGAACATATTAGAAAAAACTACTGAAGGTATATAAGCACAAAACTCTTAATTAAATCAATTTTGAGCATGATAAAATTTATCGCACCAAATTATTTACATTTAACACAATTGTTTGCTCTCATTCTGCAACCACACAAAAATTATCGAAATCCATTAAGTGTTTAATGAAGTGAATGAGTAGATAAAAAACTCATTTATTCGTTTGGTTAGTGAATTTTTTCTTGTCGCATTTAACTGTCATTGAATGCAATTAGCAAACATAATAAAACGGTACGCAAAAAATTATGATTATTAAATTTGTTGGAAATTCGTTGATAACAGTCCAACAATTTTACAAAAATGTTACGTAACACGAACAAACGAATGCTCATAGTTATAAAAAAGGATCTCTCGCTAATCAATTTTGCCGAGAACTGTACCAGTCCTTTACCATTTTAAACTTTTGGACGAAAGTGGGAATAATTTATTGAAAACATTATGTATTTATAAGTGTAATTTTTTTTTATGTAGAATCAAGCAACGCCATCAACAAACAAAAAAATTGCCAAAAATCAACGGTAAGCCCTAGGTATTTAAACTTGCATTTTATTATATTAAAATTTAATCCGCTATAAAATTGCATACCAAAATTTATTTCTAAAAATTCTAATACTTAAGTTGAATGGGAAAGAGAAACATCATTCTCACATGCATAAATTTTGAGAATAAAATTAAAAAGCTTGAAATTTTGTTGAATTTTTGTTCCATTTTCCTAATTTTTGGACAACGTCTGAAATTCGGACTTACACGGAATAATCGCGCCTGGTAATAGATCTTTTATCTGTTCATCTCTTCTCAGTTGAGTCAAAATGTACGTGAGTGCATTGTTCATTGCTTTCCTATTTTTAAGTGGATTCTATCACGTGGTCCACTATACTCTCTGATGTAGTGTCTTCCCCAAACACGCAGCGAATATGGTGTCCACCCAGATCAAATCTCGGGCAGTGCTATAAAACATGCTCGACGCCTTCGATAGTGCCCTCATCAGGCGTTTCGCAATATGAGCATTAAGGAATATCAATTTGTATGGAACGCATTTTTTTGACCTACTGTATCACATAGGTTGGAAATAAAATTAATTTGAAGTAGTATGGATTTGAAAGGTTCTAAGGTCGATCTCCGCACAATCAGAATATCTTCCACGTATCCACAATATGGCAAACGGAGAGTCTTGCCTGCACGAAGGCACCAGGGAATTCGTGTAGTAAGTAAACTTACGCCCTGGGCTGGCTACCAGTGTTGCCAGAAACTAATATCCATTTAGGACTAGAATCTCTATAAGAAAGGGCTAAATAAAAAACTTTAGTGCTAAGCAAAGGGCTAGGTTCATTATTCCTCGATTGAAGATTTTTTTTATTTATTTTAGAACGATATTCCAATTTTTTTTTTTTTTTTTATTTGGTACATAGGCACATAGAGTGTTTATTCTAAACATTAAAACTCGTAAAAAGACTAATTTAAGATCGCTAAACATGAAAATAAGTCCCATTTATTTTCCCAAAGAAGCATTATCGAGATAAAGGCAAAAACATGTTTTCTAGGTCTTTTCCAGTTATTGCCAAAAAACTTCAAAAAAGCGAATACAACTATTCTTCCTTGGATACCTTTCGAAAGATATATATATGGGGCGTTCCATACCAAAATGGACGGGATTCACACTTCATGTGTTTGATTTGCTTCAAATTTTTAGGATTGATGGATAAATATAAATAATAAGTAAATATGAAATTTGAGCTTGATTAATACATTTTTAAAAACTTTACAGCGCAAAATCAAAAACAAATCGATTTGATAGTTTTTCAAATATCTCGAGAACGGAGCAAGGAAAAAAATGAGAAAAAATCACACATGCAAACATTCAAACTCTCTATGAAAAGAAATATTTTTGAATTTTTTTTCTTGAAAAATTTTTCATATACAAATTTTTTGATAAAAAAAAATTAGTTTTTGAAAATATGCCATCTCAAAAAAAAAAAAAAAAATTTAAAAAAATCACAACGGCAGCTCTGAGTACTGCGCAATATTTAAGTATAGTATTATAGGGTGCACTCTACAATAATTTGAGTTATGAATTTATTTTACACCGAAGTTGAGTGTGACCCCCGTCCATTTTGTTATGGAACGCCCCATATACTACTTTTTGAGTTTCAGGCGTTTAAATTCGAAAGATAAGCAAATTTTCAAGTTTTTCGAAAATTGTTCATTTTTATTCACTTATTTCAGTTGTAAAAAAAAAAACAAAAATGAAAAAAGTTTGGACAAAGGTCCATTTTATAGCGAAAATGTGAAGCATATGAATGAATAATGAAAGCGGCCAATTTCAATTTTTGCTATAATCACTTTCTCAGTTGAAAATGTATTTGTCCACACAACCAGCAGAAATGTTTAAAATTAAGTTTTGATTTTTGGAGCCTCAAAAGCTATTTCATATTTAAAAGGGCTAAGAAAAGAGCTAAAATAAAAAAATCTAGTCCCTAAAACTCCAAAATGGCAGCACTGCTGGCTATTGTATTTCTCAAGAGTTTTTTATCAAAATAATTTCAAATTTTTATTTACTAAATTCATACTGACTGACTAACTACAAAAGTTTTTAAGTTTGCTATTTCCCTAAGCAGCAGCATTGAATTTCAACTTTTCCACCCTATTATATTATATAGCAACCCAATTGTGCACAATTCGGAAATATGCAATTTTTTACAGCAATTTGCGTCTCTAAGAATTTCAAATTTAAAATAAATGGGTATTGATGCTGAGTGCGTGCGAGTGAGTAGTAAATTTTCACTTGCTTTGAATCAGGTCAAATTAATCAGCTAGCTTGCAGCCAGCCAACCAACCATCTACCAGCAGAGTCAATAAGACGAACGAAGCAGCAAACAATAAGGCACAATCAATATGCGAACTAACAACAATGGTGTGGAGGAAATAAAGGAAATAGAAAATTTATTATGAATGCAAAAGGAAAAAAAACAAGAGTGAAAATTTTTACACAGAAACGCAAAATAAAAATAAAAAATTCTATGCAAAATAAAGAGCACAAACTTTGTTGAAAAGTTTGCTATGATCTTGGCGTTAAGACGCCAGCGTGTAAGGGAGTAAGGCGTGGTGGAAAGGAGCATAGAATAACGATGTGCTATGATAGGTTGAATGTGAGCGTTAAAGCAAACGAAAATTGTGAAAGGTCGAGGATGCAGACTACAAGGATATCTGATCAACAATTGAAATTTTTCGATTGCATTTCAGGAGCATTGTGAACTTGTCAAGTGATGCAGAAGCATATCGTTAAAAAAGGATACAAAAAGGAAAACTATATTAAAAAGCCCTTGTTGATATTTTTAATAAAGAAATCCTCTCGAAGAAAGCTAAGGAAGTTAGCGAAACGTCGACTATAAAGTTAAGATAGTTTTCTCTTGCACTCAACTACCAGTCCATCTCCAATTGTTCCTTCCATTGAACTCGCGGATGCTCCAATTTTCGTTGTCCACACGTGGGTACCAATTTTGAAGGATGTTTTCATCGTAGCGCCATCATCCATGCATACGACACACCGAAGCTATCATATTCGTTGTATTTTTGTCCATGTATGTTCCATTAGACAACTCGTGCGATTCGTCATTATATCTTCTTCTCTACTAGTCATCCAGAAAAACAGGGCCATACACCTTAAGAAGAATAGTTCTCCAGAAAGACTCCTAAGACTTCTCATCTTTGCTTGAGAAAACTGGTAGATGCAGGCTTCGAATGGATGCTTTTCTTCACAATTTCCTCAAATGAAGCCTATTTGACAGAGGTCCGATAAACTTATTAACGGATAGATCGGGGTCTAACCGCAAGGCTAACAAATTTGCAAGGCAGGCACCCTCATATGGCAAGTAGAGTATGGGAGTTCCTGCAACCTGTAGGCTCTTACTTCCTGGCAAAATGGTCTTCTATTCGCCTCAGCGTTGCAAGATTTCAAGGTTTTTGAATTAACAAGGGCAATCTCTCCGTCATGGTAGCAGTCTTGTTCAATTGATTCCTATTCTCGCAGCTTTTTGAAAAGAGATGAAATCAAATCAGCCCTTTTTTCAAAGCTCTTCTAGTTTCGCTAGGTTAAGCATTAGACTCCTAGAATCATTCCTCTCGCAGGATTGCCACCTAACATATCCAAATCCGCGAAGACTCTTTTATTGTTGCCAGGAGGTGCTTTGTTTTGTTTCCATTCATCGCTAGGTTAAATTTAGACATATCGTGGGAAGGTAGTGTGTACCTACGTCTAAGGTTTCTGTTCGGGATTTAACGAATTGCGAACGCCTAGTCAATTATGAGTTTTCCAAACACAAGCCATGCTACAAACTACAATAAGTTTTCCGCCTTTTATACATTATCGTTGTTTGTACATTATTTGCAATAATGAGAAGGCTCCTCCGCGGTAATTAAAGCAAAAAAAGGATTTTTCTTCTTGTAGATTGGGAAAATTACTTTGAGGTTCCAATCTGCGTCGCGCCGGTTCCGTCGAGTCCAAAGACTTTTCTGTTTTTAAATTGCATTGTTTCTGTTCTCACCTCATCTTGACTGAGTGGACGGATGTGAGCTTGGTCCATATTCATTGGTATATGTTTGTCTTCATCGCATGCGCAACGAGTGCCGCAAACCAAAAACCTTGTGAAGAGAAGTGTTCTTTATATAATTTCAAAAGACGTATCTCTCCCTCCTCCTGTGCAAACTTGAAAACTTTGGTTAAAAGTCGCCTTATAGTTTTTTTTTACGTTGGAAATTCGCGTTATTTTCAAGTGGCTCATTGAAACCAAAGATACGATGCCCAAAGGCACTGCCGTCAAGCATTATTTGGTGGAAAGGAGATGGCGGTTAATCGCTGCTGTTTGTAAGCCTTATCGCCTGACTCTTGTGACTCAGCAAGATTGAAGCCACTGTGTCAATGGTTGACCGCTATTCACTTTCACCTTTCATTATCTATTTTATTAGCGATTCAAGCAAAAAGATCTCCACTACTGTTACTTTCAAGCAATCGCTTTGGTGTCAAGCCATAGGCACACGAAAACCACATTACAGCAACTGCAATGCGGATCACTATTATACTTATGTATTTCTGTACATGTAAGATTTGAAATAGCCTTGCTCAAAACTCGGCCTACCTAGAAATCAGCCTCGACTCAACTGCGGCTTATCCAGAATCCAGAATCCAAGTTATCCCACTCGCTTGATTATACCAGTTATTATACCACTTCTAGCAGACATTTCTGCTCAGTCGCACTTAAAATACGATGTTGCTAATAATACATATGGGCCCCTCTTTCGCCAATAAGTTGATTAGTGGCATACATTTTCCACGGTGCGGACCTAGAATGGATTTCTGTGGAATAAATTTTCTAATAGTTTTGGCTATAGTCGACTGGGATAAGAACAGCTTCGATATGAAAACATTCAACTAAGGTAAGTGTAATTGAACCAGCCGTTAACTTACAAGCCTTCCATTGGTCATGGCTAGTTAGTTCGAAGATCTTACCTGGTTGCTTAGCTACTACCACAACTGCAATATCGTCTCCTTCACATATTTTATTCCAAAGTGAATGTGGTAATAGAGCAAACCGTGACAAAGGCATTTTTTTAAGGAGGAAAAGAATTTGTTACAAAAGTTTAATTTTATAATTTAATGTTCATCATACGCCCTGTCAGACCAATTAAAATTGATTTACAATAGCAAATTTTCTGGATATACAAAAATTATTCTGATAGAAAACTTATCGTTTTGCAGCCTTGTCGTGCACCCTTTCAAAGCCACTATACTTTTTCCATTAATTATGATTTACTAGAAATGCCTTTGAATATGAGAAACATCGAATTTTTCGCATTTTCGCAATTCAAGTTGATAACTTAAACTTCCACTAAAAGTCGACGCGGGATGTCAGTATTCTACGGCCATAACACTTCAAATATTTAGGCTAGGAAGCACAAACATAGAGGGTATGAATATCAAAATTTGAAAAAAAAAATAGTTTTCCATATATTCGTGGGACAGTCTAATGTACATATATACACACATTACTTTTTATTTTCCCAACTCTAAATATTAAAAAAGGTATTTATCAAATTTCTGAATGCCAAAAAAGGTTTTTAAGGCCTGCTTATTGCAATCCGGAAGTTATTTCTTGTGCTCTTGTACGCAACACCACAAATATTGTTTTTGTTCTTCCTCAGCTGTGATCAATCCGTGAAAGTGCTGTATTAATTTGACCGCTCTTTCTGTTGTATCATTTACGCATCTTAAAATTGCAACCATTTTTGGGCATACAGAAATTTAAATTTATCCAATTATCCTACATCCGAAATATCGTTTCAAATTTTTACTCTTTATTGCCTTTGTTGATGTGCTGTTTTTGAATAAAGGAACAAATGTGCAAGTATTAAAAAAGAATTTTAAAAATATCCTTTGAAATTCTTATACTCTAATATCTTTAAAGAAATTCATGGACTTTAAACTAAACTAAGTTGATTCAAAATGCATTCGAAATTAAAAATCTTAAAGGATAATATTATTAAAGGATAATTTTGACATGTTTCTAAAGCATAATTGAAAACAAAAGTCATAATTAATCTTATTTCGATTCCTTCCTTCAATTGATACCCATATATCCATAGTTTATGTCAACTTTTGAAAAGATATTAAAAGTTATGGTCCTTTGGAAAAAAATCTGACCACCTGGTAAAAAATTAAAAATTCATATTTACTAAATATTATGGCCCAATACTGTAGGAAGTAGAAATAAAATGACTTTGAGTGAAAGTCGCCACGGTTTGCCGTTCATAAATTTTATTCGAATAATTTTTAACTCAAAACCAATAAAAAAAAACTTAAAGTTAAAAAAAATAACTTGGGTTTTTTGGGACAATCTAATGTACATATCGATGCCTGAGTGGAAGATCGACCTATCTCGGCAGCCAGTTCGAAAACGCTCTATCTCAAAAAACTTTTCAAGAACGCCCTATTTCAGAATTTAATTGAAAAACACCCTATCTTGAAATTCGGTTCAAAAACGCCCTATCCCACTTCAAAATGTATTGAAAATATGCTGATATAGAGCGTTTTTGAATCGGCAGCTGAGATAGGGCGTCTTTGAAACAAATTCTGAAATAGGGCGTTCTTGAAAAGTTTTTTGAGATAGAGCGTTTTCGAACTGGCTGCCGAGATAGGTCGATCTTCCACTCAGCCATCGATATACCGCTTTAAAAAATTGATATTAAATTTTTCGATGAATTTGTGTGGTAGTCCAATACAAAGTATTCACATACAATATTTTACGGTTACTTGAAAACATAATTCTTTTTTTCATATCATTGTGCACAGCAAATGACAGTCATTTGGCATTTTTCTATTTTCTATTTTCTACTTGCACTCACACTTTCAATGAGGGACATACATAAATGCAATAACAATGAAAATTTCATGAATATGAATAGGAAAACGAAAGGGTTGGCTGATCGCATAACTCCGAATGTACATATATGAATAGCGAATAGCATGTGTGAAAAATTGGCAAATTTGCACGAGACAGCTTCCTGGCTATCACAGAGTCACACAATGGTATGTAGTTACATTCTAGAAAGCATAGATAGATATGCCTGTGGAACGTGTGAAGAAAATACGCCAACGCTAACATGACAAGCGAATTTATTGCATTGCATATTTTAGAGAGCAAAAGCAAGCGGTTGAATGTCAAAGGTATTCGCTGGCTCAAGATGGAGATTCTCACATTCTACGTATGTACGTACACTTGTACATATGTAACATCCACACATGCTTACTGAAATTCTATGCTATTCACGCCATTTTCTTGAATCCAACGTCACAAACAGCAGCTAAATATGTACATTAGAACGTACCACAAAAATTTTATCTTATATAAATATTTTTGCAAGGCAATTTCGATTTTTTTTTGTCGATCGTAGGAGTTATCTGTTTTAAATTCTTCGTCATATCTTCGTTATTAATAGCGTCTGTCGATGTTTTACGTGGGTACCAATCGACAACGGCCTAATCCCACTGCGCTCAAAAGCACAGCGGATGAAATTCGTTGATCAGCGCCCCGTTATGCATGCATTTCAGTGCGTAGTAGACACATCAACCACCTTGGTAGAGCTCGAAGCCTATTCAAAGCCTCTGCGGTACTTTGGGTCCGGCGCCCGGCTGGAATGCAACTCCACATCAAACCCACCACGGACGGTTCCACCCGCATTCGGGTGCTAAACCACAGCCACCACGATACTCTCCAAGGTGTCGTACCCAAGAACTCGGGCCGAGTAAAATCGGGCAGCTCCTGTTTCCCGTGGTACCAGAATTAAGTGTCTGGTCGGACGTTGTCGCCGAAACTACTGCCAGTTCAACTTTTACTCAGCTCATGGACTGGCGGGCATTGACAAGGGTCCCCGGAATTGTCAGGCCCGTAATTCCACTTATGCGGAATCCCCTTGCGTGTTCTTCGGTATTTACAGTCGTATCATAAAATGTGATATATCGGTGCTTTTGACAATTTTGTTTTTTGTTCCAAAAATCATTTACCTCAAATTTTACGAAGGTACGTAACTAATGAAAGTGCGGAAAAGTCAATTTTTTCGAAATTGCCTTGCATAAATACTTTAAAATCTGGGGTATACGGCGACTTTTTTGACTGCTTGTAAGAAGGTACGGTGTAATGTATGTACATGGAAACAGTAACACATTTTCGTAGCTCATTTGCGGTGAACGTAATCTCAATAACTTATACACACACATCTGCAAGCATAGATTCACACATCCATATGTATATACATACATGTATACAAAATTGTATACAAATATGCCCTGCAACAATTCGAGCCCGCACTAGGTTAGACCTCGAATAGTCTCTATTGTTACCAGTACTAGACCAACTGTAATTTTTAACATTTGCGTGTCCACTTCACGACCGTAAGATAGTCTTAATGTGGTAATTAATCTTTATTATCTGGATTTGGACTAGTCGATTTATATTTGGAGGTTTTTTCGTTTAAATACGATTTCCTTCTGCACTTCATAAATACTTTTTCGTAATAAAGAAAAATAAACAAAAATCAAAAATTTTATTTTTTTGGAAGTACTGGTCCTTATCGAAAATTTGCCGCCTTGTTGCTGGAATATTTGTATATATATACATATGTGAGTATGTATTAACCCATAAGTATCAATATCTCATTGCTGTTGTCGCCACAAAGTATGGCAAGAGAAAATAATATCCTTTTCTACTTTGCATAAATTTGCATAAATATATGACCGCAAACATACACACATACTTACAAGCAAACAGCCGTACATATTTGCTTACTATATATAGCTCTACACATGCCACTACCAACTCTTTCTTTGCAGATATTCAATACTTAGTTCAAAGTCATTGCTTGCGCCTAGCAGTATGCAATACTAGTTGTGTTATGTTCCCAAGGGCTTACCTTACAAAATCCTAGTTAACGCGCACACTGTATACGCTTTTATAAATTTTATATACGTCTGTACATATGTAAGCTGCACTGTATGTCTTTGGTGGCATATCAGTTTACTAGTACACAGTACAACAAACTTCGGGTCGCCGGCTGCGAGCGATGCAATTGCTATTCATTGCCTATTGCCTTTGGGTTACGGTGGAAAAGTACCAAAGCTTTTTGCATTTTCAGGTCAGAATTTTCTTTTATGAACGAAAATTTTTTATATTTGATGCCTGCAGGCTTTAAAAAAAAAGATAAAAAAGGGTTAAAATTGATATCTGAGCGAAATAATTTGTTCGAACATAAATTTCTATTTAATTAACGTAAAAGTCAATAGAGAGCGAAATATCTAAGAATAATAAACATTTTGCCTTGAGGTATGTAACGTTTGTTTTTCTACGTTGCAAAACCGAAACAAAAAGTTAATGTTTATGCCTAAAACTATGCCGCAAAAACTGCATTTTAGGCGATTTAAAAGTGCACAAAAATTTAATACTTTTTTATTAAAAACTAATTTTAGCAGCACAGTTCTAGGCGATGTTTGACTATTATTCGTCATCACAGAATTTTAGGATGAAAAAAATAATAGAAATTAAAGGTATAAAAAACCTTGCATACTTCCAGGCAAAATATTTATAATTCTTAGCTATTTTGCAGACTTTTACATTGGTAATAAAATATTTTTTCCGCAAATTTTACTTTCCATATCCGAACAAACTATTTTGCTCAGATATGAATTTTAACCCTTACTTCACTTTCTCAAAAGCCTTTCAGCTATATACTTTAAAATTTCTTTCGCCTTCTTTAAGTTTTTGCGTTCGCAATTTGACTACCCATAGCCTTTGCTACGGATAAATGAGTGCGCTTCGGTGACATGTTGGCTTGCGTAATAAATTCGATTTGTGCTACGAAATTGACATTTTCCGCTGTTGGCTGGGTTTATTTTTAGCTACACATGCCGGTAAATAATTAATTTACATGCTTATAAGGGTACCTTTCTCAAAGAAACTCTTTATTGCGTAAATACTTAAGTTTCGACTCGAATTTAAGTAGCTGCAGCAATAACCTTAAAATTAATATACTATATTCAGACAGATGCAGATAGACTTATCCTAATAAAAGTTCATGGATTTGTGCCACTTTTTTTGTAACTTTTTCACTAGCTACTACCAGCTTAGTATGTTATGTCCAGCGCTGTATGCTGTTATAGCTTAACAGAGCCAAGAGCGTGCATGCCTAAAAGAATGCAACATAAGATGTCTGCGTCAATTGCACTTCTCAAATGGCGTTGTTTTATTTGCTTCAATCTCCGCTATAGCCAATACAAATAATTGAAAGCGGCTCCTAATCCTTAGGCAACTTTTTAGGGACATGGGTCGCTTCATTGGCTTATACAACGAATTCAACATTTTGACCTGAATAGAAACCTTGGGAAAATTTAACGTGTTTATTTTTCAATTCGCACCTGCCAATTAATTATTAATGCGTACTTCGTAAGAGTAGCACCTTATATTTTATTCTTTATATACTTTTACGTACTGCGTGCTTCCGCTTTGTCTCCAATCACGTCACTTCTTATCACTACGCTTCACCCGAAGTCATTTACTTGACAAATGATATAAAATTACCAAAGGTGATGGTTACGTGGACTACAAAAAAAGCAGCAAACAACAGCTAAGTGAATAATGCACTGCATTAAAAGCAGCTCAATGTTTCGAAAAGAGCAAAAAATAAATTTAAAAAAAACAGAGGGAGAAAAAAGAAAGAAAAAACAAAACAAGTGACAAATTTAGCTTAAAAACTTTTAAAAAATGGCCGGGTAGTGGGGTACTTGTTGACACTGAGTGTCACTGCTGGTGACGCCAGCTGCCACCAAGGCTTTGGCCCACAGATTTTTCGTACTGAAGAAGCTGACGAAGCGTTGATGTAAGAGTGAACTGTAAATGGCAGTCCTGTAAGTGCTGAGCAATTACAAGCAAATTACACGAAATTTTCATTAACTCTAATGGGCAGTGAGGAATTTTTATTGCGCTCTTACCTTTTTTCTTTGTTCTTGGTGTGAAAACAAATATAGAAATCATTGAAATTTAACAAATAATTGTGATGAATTGAAAGATCTATTCGTAAATTAATTTAACGGCGGAGAAAATGAGCTCCTGAGGTAAAGTAAAAAAATTTGTTGGATATGAAATACGTTGTTGATAGGTCGTAGAACTCCAGAATGGCCTCAGCAGGTAAGAGTTCTCATTAGACGCATAGCCTAGTCCGCGACCTGCAGGAGTCACAAATTCTTGCAGCCCAGAAATGGGCTACTTATAAGTTTTCCCCTTTTGTCGTTGGTAAGCTTAACACGAGCTCGGTATACTCTTCCTTCGCAAACGGTCGGTTGCGCTGGATTCTTACTAAGTAATTATATACTTGTTCGTGTGGAAGAGGCGAACTAGAGTGGATAAACCTTCTTCCACATGTGCACTACACTGAGAAAAAAGTTTAGTTACGTCAACTAAATATGTTTTTATCAACACATGATTTGGTTATAGTTACATTATTTGTTTATAGTTACCAAATCATGTGTTGAGAGGAATATATTTGGCTGACTTTTTTCTGAGTCTATATCTAGAACCAATTGGTCTCTACCGACCGCACTGCAGCTGATTGGGATCCCACGAAGGGTGAGGGTGACCAAAAATGGAAGAACCTCTCTTAACTAAACTCCGAATGGTATTATCTGCTGGTCGTCCATGTCTCTCTGGGCTTGGGCTTGGACTTTCGGAATTTCCGTTTCAGATGATCGTCAAGAATACCCACTACAACAACTCCTTCTGTGCGTCTTCTATTGGCTTGCCGCCAAAGTTTTTGTGGAATCTGATATCAGATCCGTAAAATCGGCTTCACAGCTCGGCGGTCCTCCTTTTCTTGCTCTAGGGCCACAATTATGGCAGAGGTTGAGTTTCGTTCCTCTCTCCTCGCCAAAAAAAAACGATGAATTGCTGGGTGGGTGGGTATGGATCCTAACGACTGCAATTGTCCCCCAAAGGCCACCAAGGTTACAGATGCCACTACACCCGGAATCGTATTCGAACTGGCATCAAGAATTTTTTGTTTCGCGGCTAACATGTAAGTTTTCCGACATACTTGCCAGTTCCATAACCGAAGATATTGGCTGTATATATACCCTTGGCGGCATCTCTGCGGTGCCCGGACATTTCTACTTGTTCTCGGATCCTCGACTAAGTTTTTTATTAGTTTTAAAATGTTTCCTTGGTCGTGAACTAAGTCGATGCCTTTTGGCGTTAAATAGTAAAAGAGAAACAGTCAGCCACAGCAGACCCCAATGCTAAGATAATTCCACCTTTACCAGCGGACCGGATAGGAGAGGCTTCGCTAAAAATATTCGTCACTGGACTGGTGTAGATTCTTGGTGTTCGATCTCCTTTTGAATGCCGCGATTCTTTCTCGCGAACAATGGTTATTTTGAAAGAATGACTAGACATCAGTGGGAAGCTAAAGCGCTTCAATAACTCTATGCTTGTCCACAGACTAATCCCCAGATCTCTGAAAAAGCATTTTGCATTTTCTTCTTCCTCATTCTTCCATTGCTGTTCTTCGCCTAATCTCAACATTCGCTACACTTTAATTTATTCTTATTTTCTCTACCTCCCATAGTTTTCCCAAATATCTCCTGTTTTCTGCTTGCATAAAATTTTTTAAATTCAAACTTTTTCAATCATTTCCACCGCTTCAACTCTTTTTCAGCCAAAAACGAAGCCGCTGTCAAATTTAATGAGAAACTGCTCTTTCATTGCTGCCTCACTAAGCTTTTAAATGCTTCCGTTGCTTTATCCTTTTGAAAACCGGCAATCCTTTCAAAGCCACTGTGGCTATTGTAACCGTCAGTCGCTATATCTTCAGCGTCAGTGAGTTTATTATATTTTATATCTAAGGCTGCCAGGTTCATTTGCAATTGAATGTCACATAAAAGCGATAGTTCGCAACCATGCAACAGT